AAATTGTAACAAAATACATAATGTATTTGGTTGAAATAAAAAAATCTTGAAATATGTATAGTAAATCACTGAAAAATATGTTTATGTTCAAAAATAAATTTCTTGTTTATTATATTTACATATTTATAAATTAAATATAATAATAAATATAAATACTATTTAATATTAATATATCATTTTTCATTAATTTCAAGTTTTTTTAATATTAGTTTACCAATTGACAAAATCCGTGCTTTTTACTTAAATAGAACGAAAATAAATTAATGAATATAAGAATAGTGCTTTGTTCACAACTTGTTAAAATCATAATGTCTCATTAATAATTGTGAAGTTTCCATTTTCATCTATTTGGCTCAATAAATAATTACTAAAAAACTAATAAATAATATGTCGCTGTTCATAATTGCTAATATGTTTAGCCATTCGAATAATTCATTCAAATAATTCGTTTCATTATGAATAAAATTTATAATATAGCTTGTTGCTAATAAATTATTATATAATCAATAAATCTTACATTTGGGATAAAATATATAAATCGTTAGATAAATTGATGTTTATGCAATCTGAAATTGTTTAAAGGATATTTATTAAATTAAAGAGGTAAGATTGCTTAGCAGGATTTAATACTACATTTTGAATCAAATATGAGAAAATCACCATTTTGTGTATGAGAAAATATCTATCAAGAAAAGTAGATATTTAATTTAGCAAGAACTATAATATTTAATAACATTTTAAAAATTTCACAATTATTTAATTATTTGAACAGCATGATATGCTAATGTAATTAATTAAATATTGTTTAAAAATAAATATAAAAATATTAATTAAATATAAATATAAAGAATATAAAAAAAATTGAAATTTTATAAATTTACCTTGCTGATTTCGTCATCTTCATCAGGGGGTATATCCATTGCAATATCACAAAATGTTATTTTATAAAAAACGCATTACCTCACGATATAAAAATGTTTTAATTAAATTGAAGTAAATAAATGTTCACACATCACTTTAAATACACTTAGAATTTATCTAATATATTATATATTTATATATTAATATATTAATTAATAAAATATTCTATTAAAATTAACAAGATTAAATAATTAAAATTAAATAATTATTTGCACTCATTACATTCTCAAACTGCAAACATTCAATTTCGCATAGAATTTATAACAACATAATTTCGATTATTTATTATTGTTTGATAATATATGTAAAGCAACGCGAACAACCGTTTTCTATATTTGCTGCAGAAAAGTGGCGATGACATTAGTTCCTAACTTAAAGCATTCGAAGACACGACATCACGAATTATTTCCTATTTATCGTGCTCGCAAACTCAAATTATATTGAATTTTCGATCCTTGTTGGCAAAAAATAATTATTCAAATTATTATAATATTATTAATAAAACAAATAATAAATAAATAGATATAAGCTCTGTAAGGTGTCCTTAATATCGACATTTTCGAATTTCCTTGCTCCCAAGGGCTCAATTGGTTCCAAATTGATAAAAAACAATTCTCTGAAAGTTTTAGCCCTTAATATTAACTTTTAAATAGTGCACAATTCAATCAAACTTAGCGACAAGTTCTGAATGAAAAACATTTATTTGTTCGCTAAATTATATCTAAAAACATTTTTAAAATTTTTGAAGACTTTTTCATGCTATTTCCAAAACTTTGATTGAATTGCGCACTATCTAAAAGACAATATTAAGAGATAAAACTTTGAGAGAATTGTTTTTTATCAATTTGGAACCATTTGAACCCTTGGGAGCAAGGAAATTCGAAAATGTCGATATTAAGGACCAACCTAATGTTCTGCATACGTATACATTTTGAATATTTATAAGCATCCCAAAATAAAAAGAATGCCGATTTTTATTTATCTTTTAATATACATTTTTCAAATTCAATTTGAGGATAAGTCAAGCAAACTAAAATAAAACAAAAATAACTAGAAGACAGATATGAATTTTTTTCAGTTTTTCTTAAAATAGAAACGCAACTATGTTTTGAAATTATCTGAAAAACAGTAAATAAATATTCTCTAATAATTAAATAATATATTTCTAACATTTCATAATTGTAAAATTTATGTTGACTCTAAGTTTGTCTTGATAAAATAAAATTAAAAATACAAAACCCCCAAAAATGTAAATAATACTTATATTCCAAATTTTATAATATTATTAATAGTGTAGTGTTAATTATACTTCAACAATCAAAATTATTATTAAATTGAATATTTTATAATGAAAAGTTATTTTTAGTAAAAAAAATAATAATAAATTGCAGGAGAGTATATTAAAGTAATAAAAACTTTTGACTTTTATTATCTTTCTTTAATTTTTAAAATGAATGGTATCGATTATAAATATTGTTTTTGCTATATCGTCATAAATTTTTGTGTATTTTTATTTTAAATTATTTATTATGCTTATGGTTTTTGATTTTGATATTAATAAATCAATGTTTTTATCTTCAAAGTTACTATATATGCGACAGGACTGACTCAGCAAAAAAAATATAATACTAGATCCATAGACTAGATCCAACTAGATCATATAAGATATTTTAAGAATTTTGAATATTTTGAATGTAATAAACAATGCAAATAAATATAGTTTTTCCAATAATTCACAGACAGTTTTTCACGCATGAGTAAATCACATACCAATATTTTAAGTTTTATATGAAAATGCAATCACATTCTATACTTATTTCATAAGACCCTATGAGATTAAAATTACTGTAATCAATTTCATATTTATTGCGTATATTATGAATTATTTCAATTTTCAGCTCTAGTTTACTTTATCTTTTATTTCGCACGATTTATTTTTTATTTCAGTTTTTAATCTTTTTTCTGGTTGATTTGCAAATGCGCCCAAAAAAATCATTTCTTCAGCACTAAACGGGGTTGGCGTGTTTTAATGAACGGATATAATAATGACAATCGTGCCATCCATACACTAAACCAGTTCTTCTGTGCATGAACTGGTTTTAAGGGTGAAACAGCATTTATTGAACATTCAAGCGTTATTACAACAATATCATAATACTAATTTTATATTAAATTTGTTGGAACATTACTTATACAATATTAATAAAATTTAACTATTTTTTTATCTTGATATGAAAAATTTAATATTATGTTAATTTAAAATGTACGTATACATTCTTCGACCATTTTGCACTTATATACCCGAAGCTCTAAAACGATTGCAATCATCTTTTCATGCTTTTGAAATAATCCGATACGTGCAAATTTCCCTTAATGATTAATCGGTAATAATAGTAACATTCAATTTAAAAATATATTAAAAACATCTGTTTTTTTTTTTAATTTTATATTTGCCACTGAGAAATTGCAGTGTTGAAATTATAACATTAACTAGTGGTGTATGGCATCGAATATTAAATGTTTTCAAATAGATTATTATTATAAATATTGTAACATTGTCTAATATTTATAAGAATTATATAAACTGAATTGCAAAGTTGAAATTATTTGTTTAAAGTAAATTAGAACTTTAATCAGAATTAAAATTAAAATATGAATTATTTTCGATATACAAAAAAAAATTTTTTTTTGAAAAAAAAGTTGAAACATTTTTTTTTTCCAAAAGCAATTATTTTGCTAAAAGAAGCAGATCTTTGAATCATTCAAATCGGACGCTTAATTCTCTCCAAAACAACCAATTTTTGCACATTTAGCTCCGTATCTTCGAAATGGCTGGACCTTTCCAAAAACTAATCATCTCTTCTCTCAATTATTACACATTGAATTTTAATTAGATCATTTCAATACTCCGTTCTCTCGATTTGTATTTTCTGCACTCTTTGCTTCCTATCTCCGTAACGGCTCGACCTGCCTTTGCCAAAAAATAATCAGTACATCTCCCTATCAATAGGAAGCGATTGTTTTTTTAACCATTCAAATCGGTTGATCCGTGCGCCCGAAAAAAATGCGGACATACAAAACACACACACACGCATCCATTTTTTCTGAAGTATGCCAAATTGTTCAGAAACCTTCAAAACGTAAAGTTTTTCATTTTTGATTATCGGCCCATTACTATAACTACCCTGCGGAAAGTTAAAAATAAAAAATAAGGTAGGGAAGGTTCGTGGGCTGAGTTAAACTCTAACTTGATTCAGGGAAAAATAGTGTGAGAAATTTCCCATTTCCATTTCACACCACAGTACCCGAAATGGGCTATTTTCATTGTAAACATATACTTGATTTATATTTTGAATATATATTAAATGAAAATGGATATCGCTACTGCATATATATACAATGTTTATATGTATGTATATTCTATGAATGTATGTATTTTATATGAATGTATGTCGAAGAAAAGTCAAATTGGTGCTCAAACGTATGGAAGACCTAATAAATTTTTCTTTTTAATATCTGGATGGATGGCTGTTCATATTAATAGTTAAAAAAATTGACCATTTTAGTAAATCGTTGCTTGGCGATCATATGGCAATTAAGTTTATGGTCTTAACAAGCCTACGACACTAGAATGAAATAAAATAATAGTTCAATAGAATATTAAATTATAATTATTATAATAATTAAAATATTATTTTAGAATTGAATAATAGAATAGTAAATCTTAAAAGCTTAGTCAAGTTGTTTCAATATTCGCTTGAGGCAATAAATTTTTTTTGAAAATTCTTGGAGGAGATTTTGATATAAGCGAATCAAAGCAAGTACCTTCAGAAGTAGTACCTCGGCGTTTTGGTGATCTTTTGTACTGGTCCAGATATTATAATTAATATATAATAATTAATATATAATAATTTCACTCTACTAAATCTCTCAAGTCTCTCACCAAATTTCTATTTAGTCTAGACTTGTACCCTTTTATCGAAAATTTTATACAGATGACACTACCAAAACTATTTATAAAAGTTGAGTGATGTGGATAATTTGTTGACATTTTTATCAAAATTTATCCGTTAAATTAATTATGAAGGTTCATTAAAATTTCAAATTTTGTGAAAGCAGAGATCGGAAAGCTTTAACTTTTACTATAAGTCATGAAGCAAATTCTATAAAATAATTAAAATAACACCGAATGACGTGGAAGTTTTCATAGGTTAACTTTCTATGTTAAGAAAATTATATACAAATTTATGAATACTTATATGAATAAAACTACTAAAAATGTTTGAAGTAAATGATGTGCAAAGTAATTATCTTTTAGTCATTAAATTAGTTTAGTTTTAATATGTGTAATTCTACATTTATTAATATTTCAGAAATTGGTGTGGGATTGGCAGGATTTGGTATAGCATTTCTCTTTCTGGGTGTTTTGTTACTATTCGATAAAGGATTACTTGCAATTGGAAATGTAAGATATAATAATGTCTTAAATAATAAGTTGTTGAATGACATCATTTTAAATATGGAGATTCTGGTACTTAAAAACTATTTATTAGTTTTGCTCGCTTGTTTCAAAGCAAAAAATGTGTCTGTATATAAGAAGCAATAAGAGAAATATTAGTTTCACGTTTTTTTTTACCAGCACTGCATAACTTCTATGTGGTAAATAAATGTATCATTGTTTAACGCTAGAGAAACAATTATTTATTTTCAAATAAAGTAAATTTATGTCCCAAGTACTTTGGCTTGAAATAATTAACTTTTTAGTGAGAAATTATAATTGATATGTATATATATATATATATATATATATATATATATAATAAAAGATCAATATAAAAGTTGTAAGAAGATAACTAAGATTATAAACATGACTATTGAGATTAAAACTTTTTATGCATAAAGAGCTCGAATCTTCTTGAGCATGCAACTTTACCTGATACTATTTCTGCTGATCGCATATGTCCTTTTCATATTTCCAATTCGTCTTCATATCAATTCGATCACAGGGTACAAGCATTTTTAAGATGTATTTAATTTATTTCAGTAAAATTTATACTGATTATTCCATCAATAATATGTTGAATTTTACCATGGCTCATATCTATCGTATTTAGCATTTTGATCTAAAAGAATAAAATTAACATGTATTTACTTATATACATATATAACTACTTAATATTTTTTAATGAATAATTAAATTGATATTTTCTATATTTGCCTATGTTTCATAATAATTTTAAATTATGAATATGTTTATGAACTAAAGACCTTATTATAAAGAAAATCTTTATCAATAACTTAAAAGCATTTAAAATTAAATAATACAGAAATTTATAATGTATATTGTTTATTCCAGATTCTCTTTATATGTGGCTTAGCTTGTGTTATAGGATTGGAAAGAACATTTAGATTTTTCTTTCAAAGGCATAAAGTTAAAGCATCAATATGCTTTTTCGGCGGTATTATTGTAGTTCTAATTGGATGGCCATTGATTGGAATGATCATAGAAACATATGGATTTGTTCTACTTTTCAGGTAAGTCATTGAAATAAAATTTTCTTAAAACTTGTATTCAAATTGCAGCAAAACTTTTATATCATTGAAAATTTTATATTCGGACATAAGTCTTTTAAAGTTTCTGTTTAATGAATATTAAATGGATGTTAAAACCAATAATTTGAATAATGAATAAAATCACATTAAAAAGTTTGGTAAGCTGATGTTAAAGAATCTTTATGTTGATTTCAGTGGATTCTTTCCTGTTGCGATTAACTTTTTAAGAAGAATACCCATCTTAGGCACATTTTTAAATATGCCAGGAATAAGTAGTGTAAGTAAAAAAAACTATCAGATTTTAATAATCAGATTATAATAAATATTAATTTAAAAAATGTAAATTGCAGATAGTAGATAAATTGGCTGGTGATTCTAATAGAACAACGGTATGATATCCACTCTCTCCTGTATAGATATAATTCACAAAAACTTTATTAATATATGTAAATAAAATGTTCTATGTGGTATGTTCAATATTAATTAATTAGTTTTATTACAGTAACTGTACCGATTTTTATTAATGCCATTGTAGTTATAAGAATTAAACGCGGAGGAATCTTGTCAGCAATCACATTTTTATGTTCAAAAATTATGATTTGTATGTTCCAACAAATCATATTTTAAATTGACATGTGTTTTTGCATGAACTATATTATATTAGGGCAAATATAATTTACTATAACTTAGTACAAATTTAATTGAATTAAAATACAAGAATTTGTTAGTCAATATAAAAGTACTATCTATATCAGTGTATCATAAGTGTAAGTTCTGTAATTAAGTCTGGTAATACAAACCATTTAATATAAAATTTTCAATTCATTCTTAATGAAAACGAAATTATAATTCCTACCTTTCTTCACATTTATAACATGATGCAGTCATGTACAATATGTCTAAAATAACATGTATTGCAATAACTGCTTAGCTGTTCACAATTCCTGTTTCTTTTTCAATTTCAACTCTCATTACATGTTAATGGCTACAAAATGATCAAACACATGTATTGTTTTCACTGATTATTATGTTTAACTAACAAATTAAAAGAAAATTCTGACCACTAATAGGTAAAACATTTAGCTCATATTTGTTTGTCATGCACACCACATACTTGTGAACTAGTTCAATGTAGGCAGCACAATGAATGTTGGTATTATAAAATTAAAAAAACATTGCACAAACTCAATTTGTAGCAAATGCAGACATAAATGTTAACTTTTATTTTTGTAGCCTTCTAAATTGTGATTTTGCTGACTTATATTTTGAACATGGGTTTCTCAAACTGGGACCTGCAATTAGGAACAGAAGGAACAAGGTATACATGAAAAACACATTGTATCCGGTCCATACAACTCTAAGCTTTCCAACATTTGTATTTTATTCAAATAAATATAAATAAAAATCATAATTCGACAATTTTACTTGTATTTATCTTAAACATATTTACAGTATTTCCTCAAAAACTGTTAAATACAATAAGTTAACTTAAATACATGGATGTTCTGAGAATGTGGATGAGCTCAAGATTGTAGAACTGAGTTTGATCTACACAATTTTTGCCTAAAAGGTTCGACTACTCAGAAAGCAGCCACCCGTGATTCCATACCGCCTCACATTTGACAATAAAATATATGTATAATGTTAAATAGGATTTTAATGGAAAAAAGCCAATTTAATACTTTAGCATTATGAATATGTATTTCCAAATTATTCTATAACGAATTTAACCTAAAATACAAGAAATACATATTCATAAATATACATATATTTTAATACAAAAAGGTAACTTGTGCAAAAATGAAATTCAAATACACTTGGTTTTGCTAATTTAAATTGTTTTTAGATTTTTCTCTTTTTTTGTTATGGTTGTTTATTGCTTAATTTACAACAATTTCTTGATTTCATCGTACAAGACCAAAACGAAAGCTCCACCAGTACCACGGAGGATATTGGAGAAAGCTCCCTTGAAGAAGGCACCACTTCCTTCTGTCTTGGCAATGGTGGCCCAGCAGTGCAGTGTTCCCTTGTACAACATTTCAGACTTTGCACGTCCAGACTGCATCATCATACGCCTACGGACAGTGTCGAATGGATATGACACAATACCAGCAACAGTTGTGACGGCCTGAAAAGTAAATTGGTTGATATATAATACTATATAAATGAAATTTATGTGATGTTTTGATTATATCAATGTAATATAATAATTTAATATCATATTTATACATTTCAGGATCATTTTTATAAATGAAAAATGAATTTGAATTCAATGAATATAGAATTCAAACTTACTTGTGCAATGGCCCAGCTGATAACTAATGGGGTGTTCTTGGGGTCTGGCAACATTCCACGAGCGGTGTCATAGAATCCAAAGTATGCTGCACGGTAGATGATGATACCTTGAACAGATACTCCAAAACCACGGTACAATCCAGGGAGACCATCAGACTTGAAGATTTTGGTCAAGCAGTTGCCCAATCCAGAGAATTCACGTTGACCAGCGCCTTTACCTACATCAGCGGCCAATCTGGAATTGATGTCCAAAACAATTAGAAGCCAGTTTAAATTATATTTTTAAGGCACAGTTATAGAGCTTATTTACATGAGCAAAAGTTAAATAAATTAAACTTTATTATACTAAATTTATTTTAGTTTAACAAAAAACAAAATTTAAGAGTAAAAAAATATAAATAAGCTACTGCAACCGAAAATCAACCTTCAATACAACTGAATA